CAAGACAAGTCTTAACAAATTTAAAACAATTGGAATCATACCAAGCACCTTTCCTCACCACAATGTCATACAACTAGAAATCAATAACAAAGATGAAAACTGGAAAATACACAAATATGTGAAAATTAAACAATATGTTCCTGAAGAAAAATGACTCGAAAAATTGTTTAAAGAAATTAAAAAATTTTTTCAGACAAATGTAAAAGGAAATACCATATACCGAAACTTACGTGATACAGCAAAAGTATTTCAAAGAGAAAAGTTTATGATGACAAATGGTTAAGTTAAGAAAAAAGATCTCAAATATACAATCTAATCTCACACCTCAAAAAAATGGAAAAAGAAGAAATAAGTACAAGGTTAGTAGAAAGAAGAAAATGATCAGAGCATAAATAAGTAAAATAGAGACTAGAAAACTAATAGAAAGATAAGTGAAACTAAGAAGTTTTTTTGGAAGATAAACAAAATTCATTAACTTTTAGCTAGACCAACTAAGGCAAAAGAGAGAACACTTAAATAAATAAGGCCAGACAAGAAAGAGGAGACATTACAAATGATGACACAAAATGAAAAAGATAATAAGAAACCACTATGAACAATCATCCACCAACAAATTGGATAACCTAAAAGAGACTGATAAATTCCTAGAAACATACAACCTATCAAAACTAAATTATAAAGAAGTGTAAGATCTGATCAAACCAATTACTAGTAAAGAAGTTGAATAATCAAGAACTCCCAATAAATAAAAGCTCAGGACCAGAAGACTTCACTGGTGAATTCTACCAAACATTTAAAGAATTAATGCAAATCTTTCTCAAACCCTTCCAAAAAATTGAAGAGGAGGGAATACTTCTAAACCCATTTTATGTGGCCAAAATTACCCTGATACCAAAGCTAGACAAGAATCCAAGAAAAGAAAGCTAAAGACCAATAGCTCTGAAAACAAAGATGGAAAACTCCTCAACAAAATACAAGCCACATTCAACAACACATTAGAAGGATGATAAAACATGAGCAATGGGGTTTTATCCCTGGATATTAGCCCACAGCTAACATCATACTCAATGGTGAAGAACTCAAAACTTTTCCTTTAAGATTAGAAAAAAGACAGGGATGCCTACTCTTGCCACTTATCTTCAACATAGCAGGTAAAGGAGACAAAAGGCACAGGTTAGAAAGGAATAAGTAAAATTGTACTGGCGACATTATTTTATGTATAGAAAACATTAAAGATTCTACCAAAAAACTGTTAGAACCAAGAAATCAGTAGAGTGGCAGGATACCAAGTCAGTATACAAAACTGAGTTGCATTTCCATACATTAACAATGAATTATAAGAAAGAGAAATTAAGAAAATTCCATTTACAGGGGCTCCTAGGTGGCTCAGTCAGTTAAGTGTCCGACTTTCGCTCAGGTCATGATCTCACAGTTCCTGAGTTCGAGCCCCATGTCGGGCTCTGTGCTGACAGCTCACAGCCTGGAGCCTGCTTCGGATTCTGTGTTTCCCTCTCTCTCTGCCCTCCCTGGCTTGCATTCTCCCTCTCTCTATCAAAAATAAATAAACTTTAAAAAATAAATCCAATTTACAATAGCAAAAAAAAAAAAAAAAAAAAAAAAAAAAAAAAAAAAAAAAAAAAGAAATGCTTAGAAGAGTTTTAATTAAAAAGGTCAAAGATCTGTACACTGAAAACTATTAAAAGATTAATGAAAGAAATTTAAGAAGATGCAAATAAATGGAAAGTGATTCTGTGTTCATGGACTGGAAAAATTGTTATTATACAGATGTCCTCCATTCTACCAAAAGCAATCTTTATCAATACAATCTTTATCAAAATTCCAATAGAAATAGAAAAAAAAACAATCCTAAAATGTGTATGGAACCACAAAAGCCAAATAGCCAAAAAAGATGCTGAGAAAGAAGAACAAAGCAGAAGATATTGCACTTTCTGACTTCTAACTATGTTATAAAACTATAATAACAAAGCAGTATAGTATTGGCATAAAAACAGACACATAGATTAGGGGAACAGAATAGAGAGCCCAGAAATAAACTCATGTAGGTATGGTCAGGTAATTGTTAACAAAATTGTCAAGAATATATAATAGAGAAAGGACAGTCTCTTCAATATACAATGTTGAGAAAACTGGATATCCACATGCAAAAAAAAAGAAAGAAAGAAGAAGGAAGGAAGGAAGGAAGGAAGGAAGGAAGGAAGGAAGGAAGGAAGGAAGGAAGGAAGGAAGGAAGGAAGGAAGGAAGGAAGGAAGGAAGGAAGGAAGGAAGGAAGGAAGGAAGGAAGGAAGGAAGGAAGAAAGAAATTGGACCACTATTTTACACTATATACAAAAAATCAACTCAAAATGAATTAAAGACCTACACATAAGATCTGAAACCATAAAACTAGAAGACATAGGGGAAAAAAACTCCTTCACATTGGTATTGGCAGCAGTTTTTTGGATTTGACACCAAAAACACAATAAAAACAAATATGAATAAGTGGGATTATATCAAGCTAAAAAGTTTCTGCACAGCAAAGGAAACCATCAACAAAATAAAAGGCATGGTATGAAATGGGAGAAAATATTTGCAAACTATATATCTAGTAAGAGGTTAATATCCAAAATAAATAATGAACTTATACAACTCAAGGGCAAAACAAAACAAAACCCCATATAACCCAACGAAAAAATGAGCAGAGGACTGGAAAAGACATTTTTCCAAAGAAGATACACAGATGGCCAACATGTACGTGAAAAGATGCTCCTCACTAATCATCAGGATAGGCAAATCAAAACCACAGCGAGATATTACCTCACACCTGTCAGGTTTCTGTTATCCAGAAATAACAGAGACTGGCAAGGATTTGCAGAAAATGGAACCCTTGTGTACTGTTGGTGGGAATGTGAAGTGTTACAGCCTCTATGGAAAACAGAGGGGAGGTTCTTCAAAAAATTAAAAATAGACCTTCATATTATTCAGAAATCCTACTTCTGGGTATTATATAGAAAGGAAATGAAATCACTATCTAGGAGAGATTTCTACATTCCCATGTTCACTGCAGCATTGTTCACAATAGTAAAGTCATGCAAACAAGCTAAGTGTCCATTTAGTTGAATGAATAAAGAAGATGTGATACACACGCACACACACACACACACACACAGAGAGAGAGAGAGAGAGAGAGAGAGAGAGAGAGAGAGGAATATTGTTAAACTATAAAATAAGAAGGATGTCCTGCCATTTGTGATAACATGGATGATTCTGAAGGACATTATGCTAGTGAAATGAGACAGATAAAGACAAATACTGCATGGTATTACTTATGTGTGGAATCTAAAAACACAAACAAAAACAGGATTTTTGAAACTTTTAGAAATCATATAAACAGTAGAATGATGGTTGCCAGGGGCTGGGATGTGGAGGAACTATGGAGAGGCTCATAAAAGGGTTCAAATTTTCAATTTTAAGATGAATTGTTCTAAGGATGTAATGTATAGGATGGTGACTATTGTTGAAAATTCTTTAATGTGTCATTGAAATTTGCTAAAAGATTAGATATTATGTGTTCTCTCTCTCTCTCTCTCTCTCTCTCACACACACACACACACACACACACACACACACACACACACACACACGGTAAATATATAAAGTAATGGAAGTATTCATCAACTTGGTTGTGTGTTGTAGACTCTGGGTCTGGAGTTCTCTCTTGTCCAGCAAGAGAGCAGGATGCAGGAAATGAAAACGCAAGAGAGGCTAATGTCCAGGAGGAGACAAGAGCCCTGAATAAGGGTCCTTGCTACATTTTAATTAAGATCAGAAGGCTTACAAGCGTGATGGATGTGCACAAAGAGACAATGAAACTGTGAATTAACTTATGGGCGTGGGGGAGAGGGGGTTTTGAAGATATGCAGTGTTAGGAGTTTGGGTCAATATAAAACAAAATCCTGGTGCTGGGCGGATGGTTGTTTACAGCAGACATGAAGCCCCACCTGTGTTTACCTAAACTGGCCTAGGGGACAAGAAAGAGCATGCCACCTCAGGGTCAACAAGGCATCTTTCTTTTGCTACTTAGCTCCACTATAGGCAACTTTGCCCGCTGTGGTCTATAGCCCCATTTACCTGTTTACTTAATTTGGTCCTTCCTTCCCTTGGAAGCAACTTTCTGCTATTGTCCCAAACCTTTGTCCTATACTGGGGCCTTTGCCCTGTTTACCTAATCTTATTTACCTAATCTTTGATGTTTTCATCCAGAGGTTTCCTGTTCCTATATCTTTGTCCTATACTGGGGGTCTTTACCCCATTTACCTAATCTTGTTTACCCAAACTTGGGTGTGTTCATCCTATGGCTTTCTAATTCTTTATGCCTTATTAACCCATCGGTGCAAGCTCAGGGAATTCCTAAGCTTATTTCCCATAGTTGTGGGAATCCTTCCACAACGTGTGTGTGTGTGTGTGTGTGTGTGTGTGTGTGTGTGTGTGTGTATCACCATGTTTCATACTTTAAAGATATTACAATTTTATTTGTCAATTATACCTCAGTGAAGCTGGCTGGGGGTGGGGGACAGAGAGAGGGAGGGTAAAGCAAAAAAGAGGATAATTAGACTACACTTAAGGTAATACCACATCTTGGCAAAAGGGGCAAGATATGCTCATTAGCAATTATCCACTTGTAAGATAGGAGAAGCATTAGGGCAGCATGCAAATGAATAAAGAGTGTCACTGGTACCCAGAGGTGCAGGAAACTAAACAAAAGCAGGGTCCACTATAGGAGGGTCTGGCCATGGCAGGTCTGCTGGACCCAAAGGGGAGTCCATGAGTGGTTTGAGAGCAAGGACTGTGGTGGTTCTGTTGACCATTCACACTGTTTTCCAGAGCCTAGACAACACACACTACTTTAAAGCTAGTTACAATTTATTATTTCTCTCCATCCACCCATACACTCCTCCTGCCACATCAGCCCATCCAACACTGTCTTGTGTTCAGGACTGCGTCACAGAGGCTCACAGTGCCACTGGTTCCAGTCACAGGGCATGATGATATGGCGCAGACGGTGACTTATTTTCTGTGTGATTTTGTTGGTTATAAGTGTATGGTAATATGTAGGGTAGTCAAGTTTGTCCATAGTGCGGATGTGAGCATCTATGACATAGGTGGAGAGACCCTGGGCCCGGTACTCAGGCACAGTACCCCCCATCCGTATCTCTCCTGTCTGATCCATCAGGCTCCAGGATACAGGGGTCCCCTCAGGCCCCAGAAGGCAGAAGGTGGGGAAGGTCCGGATACAGCGCTCAATGAATCTCTGGCTCCTCTCATTCCCACCAAAACGCCAGAATTTATCCACCAAGGCAGTGTGGGTAACATCCAGGGAGGAGAGTTTAAACATCTCTTGGTTACTATTGAGAACAAGGGAAAAGAACACAGATAAAGGTATAGATTCTGCAACCAGATTGCCTGAAATAATAATCTTTTTTATAAAATGAGACATTAACATAAGTGGGGGATTAATAGCACCTCTGTCAAATAATATAAGAGCTATTGCATGATAAGTACCTAGGACCTGTGCCACGCAAAAAATAAGAATTACACAAAAATTAAGCATTAATTAATGCTGTGTCACTAAGCATTAGTCACTGTTGTGATTCTCCACTTAAGATGAGAGAATTGATAACATCCCTGTTCTACACATAAGAATAGGTAAGCAGAAAATAAACAAGTGCCCCCAAAGCATATGCTAGCAAGCTGCAAAGCCAGAGCTTAGAATCTTGGGATCTTGGAATGTTGGTGTCACAGAATCCTTAGCCACTGTGGGAAAGCTGAAGTCCAGAGAGAGGCAATGGTGTGAAGTGAAGGCAAGCCGCATGTTACAGAACACTGAAGTCTGAAGGCTGCTGCAGTGGGGTGAAAGGGCTTTGGGAGGTGTCCTGGAAAGATCCCACAAGGTGGAATGAGATCTACCAGTGAGCTCCAGTTATGCCCTTAACCATCCACAGTACCTGAACAAGCTATTTCATTAACTGAACCTATCTTCTGTCAGGAAAATGGGGATAATGTCTTCTACCTTGTTTATCTCATGGGATAGACAAGAGAATCAAATGAGATTGTAGATTTAGAGGTGTCTTTCAGGTGTTAGGTGCAATACAGTATGAATACAGCTTTTCCAGACATATTAACACACACAGGGCCACAGGATTGGACATCTGCAGATCAAATCCCTATATCAGTTTTAATTCTATTCAGGCATCAGTGGAAGGAAATATATAATATGTTTAAGTTCTCCATATTGGAAAACTTTTGCTCTGAGAAGCAAATTCATTGAATGCATATTTACGAAGCAGTGTTTTCTGTTCTGTTCTGGCCACTGAAAACTTATTGGTGAACAACATAAATAGTGTCCCTCCATAAATAGTGGAGTTTGAAATGTTGCAGGGGAGGATCAAATAGCAAACAGGTCAATAAAACACAAAGAAGCTGATTTTGGATAATGGTAAGTGCACCGAGGAAAATAAAACTTGGGTTTTGTGATGAAGAATTACAGGAAAGGGTAGTTTTAGGTTGTTCTGCAGAGAACTCTCTAAGGAAATGAGTTTTGAGAGAGTGAATGGCAAGAAAGAAGCAGATATGTAAAGATGAGAGGAAAGGACATTTTAAGCAAATGCAATGGTCCAAAGGCATGGGTGAGTGTATGAGAACAAGTCTCAGAAAGAAGGCCAGAGCTACTGGTGGGAGTGAGCAAGAGAAACAAGGTGAAATCCAAGAGGTGGTGGATTACAGGTTTTACAGGACCCTGAAGGTCCATAATGGGTATGTGAACCGAAAAACACTGATGGCTTTTAAGCGGATGAATTGACATAGTCCTTGTCACATACCAAAAGGATCACCCTGGAAATGGATTGTAGGGAGGCAAGAGTGAACATAGGGAGAGAAGTTGGGAGGCCACTTCCATACAGAAAGATGAGAGTAATGCAGAGCATCTTTTTTCAAACTCACATGGCCTTGGGTCTGCCAGATTTAGGAGGTAAGTTCTTTGCCTCCAGCAGGGAAGGGATCAGTTTACTTGCTGTCTCAGACAGCATATACATAATGGCTTGATCTTGCTTGACCTTGACCAATTTAGCAGCTGCAATATTTTGTATCACCTCATTCAGGCTGGACTGTGAACCTAGAAAAGGGTAAGGTAAGGTGAGAAGTAATTCCCCCTGTAGACACTGAAGAAGCTTCCTGGTGGAAGTATGCAGAGTTTAAAGTCGGACAGTGTTGCTTCTGGTGTTGCCATTAACCACGTGACCATAGCCAAGTCACTCCTTGAGCAACTTCCTCTTATGTAAGACAGATAGTAGTAGAGATCCTGACTTTATCATTGTGAAATCAATGGGACAATGGTATTTAAAAGCAGTAGCCAACCTTGAGTGTGCACATGCTTCATGCCAACGTATTGGTCTAATACCACATTTAATTCTTCCATTGACCCTATGTTTTGGGTATTTCTGTTATACTATCCTCACTTTCTACATGTAAGGAAACTGAGTAACAGATAAGTTACATCACTTGCTCAAATTACAAAGCAAGTAACAGGCAGAGCAAGAATGCCATTCTAGAGAATCTGACTCTGTAAGGCACACTCATAACCATGGTAGTTATCCGTGTGATCTGAGGGTCCTCTGTGGCACAAGGAACTGTCATTCTTCTTCTAGTAATGGATGGCCAGATGGGGAGTTCTACTCTCACACCTAATCATGGTAAGGGACCCTGAATATGTCAGCAAAATATATTATGAATGCTCAGCTAACAATAAATTCCATTGCTCACAGTTCCTTGTATCAACTCCATAGTTTGCAGTGTTTGAATTCTACTCCACTAAAGAGGTGGTAGCAGCTGATGCAAGGAATAAACATCAAGCTGAGTGTCTGGGGTTTGGAAGAGAAAGTAAAGGCTGTAAGGGAATGTGCTCAGGATGAAAAGTGACCCTGCAGATGTAAACATGAACAGTCACAGAAGCCAGCATACCTCCTAGATCCCTTACTTACTTTGGATCTGCAAATGTTGCTTCCAATTGATGACATCTGATGCACCAAGGAATTCTTGGCAGTTTGTGGGATTCTTATAATAGATTTGGTAGGTGTTGGTGTAGTGATCGAAATCATCTGTCATTTCCTGTTTGGTTAGGTAATGTGGAATAAATCAAATTGATCTATACCCAGTGATTGGAACACTTGGCTTTAGTTCATTATACTGTGCTATTTTATAAACTTATGGGGGTGCCTGAGTGGCTCAGTCAGTTAAGCATCTGACTTTGGCTCAGGTCATGATCTCATGGTTCGTGAGTTCAAGCCCCACCTCAGGCTCTGTGCCGACAACTCAGAGCCTGGAGCCTGCTTCGGACTCTGTGTCTCCTTTTCTCTCTGCCCTTCCTGCACTTGTGCTCTGTCTCTCTGTCTCTCAAAAATAAATAAGTGCAAAAAAAAATTATAAACTTATAAATAGTGATGTTTTTCTTGATATAGTCATTATTCCTGAATCATTTATATCATGTAAACAAGTCAAGGATTTAATCAATTACTCAACCTATGATTAAGAAAAATATACTGAACTAGATATTTATATGTTGCTTTACAATTTCAAATCAATCAAATGTGCACTGTTTAGAAAGCATTCTTCTATAATTCTGTAATCCTCAGGAGAAAGAAAGTATTATTGTCAAAGCCAAGGTTCTGTTGCAAGAGTAAATCTTACTCTCTTTAAAGGAGTCTCAAAAAAATAAATAAATAAAAGAATCTCAGAAAAATTGGATTATAAATGTAACAATGTTGAAATTGACACAAGTAACCTTGTATTACAATTTTCACTTATATATGATATAGCTACACAAAATAAAGACACATGGTGTCTTTATTTTTTCATTAAAATGTTTTAAATTCAAAGTATAATTAATATACAACATTACATTAGTTTCAGGTATGCAATATATTGATTCAACAATTCTATACATTTCCCAGTGCTCATAATGATAAGTGTACTCTTAATCCCCTTCACCTCTTTCGCCTATCCTCTCCCCCACCTCCCTCTGGATACCATTTGCTGTCCTCTGTATTTTTTTTTTTCAACGTTTATTTATTTTTGGGACAGAGAGAGACAGAGCATGAACAGGGGAGGGGCAGAGAGAGAGGGAGACACAGAATCGGAAACAGGCTCCAGGCTCCGAGCCATCAGCCCAGAGCCTGACGCGGGGCTCGAACTCACAGACCGCGAGATCGTGACCTGGCCGAAGTCGGACGCTTAACCGAATGCGCCACCAGGCGCCCCTGCTGTCCTCTGTATTTAAGAGTCTGCTTTTTGTTTGTCCCTTTTTTCTTTGTTTGTTCATTTGTTTTGTTTCTTAACACATATGAGTGAAATCATATGGTATTTGTCTTTCTCTGACTCATTTCATTTATCATTATACCCTCTAAGCCCATCCATGTTGTTGTAAATGACAAGATTTCATTCTTTTTGATGGCTGAATAGTATTCCATTACATATATATACCACATCTTTATCCATTCATCTATTGATGGACACTTGAGTTGCTTCCATATCTTGGTTATTGTAAATAATCCCACAATAAACATAGGGATGCATATATCTTTCCAAATTTATGTTTTCATTTTCTTTGGGTAAATACCCAATAGTAGAATTATTGGATCATATGCTAATTTTATTTTTAATTTTTTGAAGAACCTCCATACTGTTTTCCATAGAGACTGCACTAATATACATTCCCACCAACAGTGTATGAAGGTTCCTTTTGCTCCACATCCTCTCCAACACTTGCTTCTTGTGCCTTTTATTTTAACCATTCTGACAAGTATAAAGTGACATCTCATTTTGGTTCTAATTTGCATTTCCCTGATGATTAGTAATATTGAGCATCTTTCCATGTGTCGATTGGCCATCTATATGTCTTCTTTGAATAAATGTCTATTCAGATCCTTTGCTAATTTTTTAATTGAGTTATTTGTTTTTTTAGTGTTGAGTTGTAGAAGTTCTTCATATATTTTGGATGTTAACCTCTTATTGGACACATGATGTCTTTAAAATGTAAACCACATGCACTATTATTTAAAAAAATAATTTACATTCCTCAAAAAAATGAAATTTGAACACAAAATTTGTTCAAAGAGATCCTCTGAAATTTAACAAATGAAAGATTAGGTTATTTGAAGATGAAGGAAGGGATCAGAAAACAACCGCCCAACAAGGGGGTAGAATAAGGTAGAAGGTGTTGCACAGAAATGCACTAATAATTTCATTTATTATTTCAATAATTAATGTAAATGTCTTCATTTTTGTATTCTGTTTAGTTCAGTATTTTTAAACAGCACTATACATTTAAATTTTATTTGAAAAAATTTATGTTAAAATGACATTATATGGTTGCATATTTTGCATGCATAAATTTGTACTTTATATTTTCCAATATGCTTATAACAGATTTGTATTTGAAATGTATTAACCACTTAGTGTGAGTGATAAGTTGGCACTGAAAATGTATTCCCAAATATAGGCATTGCAATTTGTTGTTTACATTTCCTTAAAAGTCTTCATATTTACCTTTACATATTTTTAGGTGTCATTTTTCTGCTTAGAATGCCCCTCTAGTCTTGTCAGCCTGTCAAACACCTATTGATCTTCAAAATCCAGTTTTGGTGAAATGTCTACTAGGAAGTTGCTCTGATCCTCTCCTTGTATACCCTGACTTCGGTGATTTAATCATCTCTTGGATAGTGCTGCTGTGTGTATCTTGTATGTTGTATGTTTTTGTACAATTTTCACCCCATGTTGTAATTTATTTGCTTATCTGTCTTTTCCTCCAAGCCGTGAGTTTCTTGAGAACAAGGACTTTTTCACCATTATGCAATTCATTTCTATATCCCCTGTGTCTGCCACATTGCCAGGTGCATGGTAGGCAAGTAGCAAATATGAACACAAAAGCATATTCATTCCACATCTGGCACCTTACCTGCTCCTGAGGGCGGATAACCACTGTTGTAAAATCAGGCCATTTGTCCACCACGGCCTTTAACTTGAACGGGTTTCCCTGGTTCATGTGGAAGACAGTTGTATAAACCTGTAGCAACCCAAAAAACTCAGAGGGTCAGCTTATTAAGAAGGGCTGGTGAAGTGCCTTGTTTGATCAGGACAAGGATTATTTCTGCAAAATCAGGGTGATAACTTATAAGGCATATGGTTGAAACCACCTTCAGATTCCACTTCATTACTCCAAGTAGAAATAGGGTTGGGAGTCAAACCATGAGAATATTATGAATATAGTTAAATATCCAGGTAAATAAATTGATTAATTAAAAATCAGGGGTGTCTGGTTGGCTCAAGTCAGTTGAACATCTGACTCTTGATTTGGGCTTAATCATGATCCCAGGGTTGTGAGATCAATACCAGCAGCAGGCTCCATGCTCAGCTTAATTTTCTCTCTCTCTCTCTCTCTCTCTCTCTCTCTCTCTCTCTCTCTCCCTCTCCCTCTCCCTCTCTCTGCCCCTCTCCCTGACTCACACTCTCCTAAAATTAAAAAAAAATCATCCACTATCACATTGTAGAACTTAGTGTTATAGCTTTCCATTTAATTTCATTTATTTACAAATACACATATTTTTTTTCTTTTTTTTTATATGAAATTTATTGTCAAATTGGTTTCCATACAACACCCAGTGCTCATCCCAAAAGGTGCCCTCCTCAGTACCCATCACCCACCTTCTCCTCCCTCCCACCCCCCATCAACCCTTAGTTTGTTCTCAGTTCTCAACAGTCTCTTATG